TATCTTAATTGGGGAAATTAGAGGAAGTTTTAAATACTTGAGAATAGGAATTTAAAATAACATTCATGATATCAATTTTTATCAAGAAAAAGCCATCACTTATTTTACAATATGTTAGCTTAAGTACTATTTATTTTTCATAAATTGAATACTTTTTATAAGAAATTTGGTAGAACAAAAAATGCTAAAGATGTTTCATTTAATTTTTTAAAATGTATCAGACTAGGATGAATATTTATAAGGTCGTGAATTAATGATCAAATTAGAACTGTTATAATATTCGAATAATATAAATTTAGAGAAATAATTGAATTTTGGGATTAAGGAATTTAAAATAATAAAGAGTTTAAAATATATTACATTTAGAAAGGTAATTTTCTACATCATCTATATTCAAAGCTAACTCTATTAAAAGTTTTTAATAAAAATGATTGCTCATTCTATTTAGAAAAAAGTAAATTTCATTTCAGATATCTTAGTGTAAGCTTTAGAAAAATTCGAAGAATTTTAAGAAATATTGGCATCATTAAGATCAATTGCTATATGCAGAAAAAAGGTAATCTTTAGATGCATATGATTAGGCGAATCTTATAATATTAAAAGAAGAAAATAACTATAGAAAAAGGGAAAAGATCAAGAAATAATAGATAATTATGATAATGCTTCTCGATAATGGTACATCCTGATGTTTATGAGAAAAAAGGTACTAAAATTATTAATAATTTTAGCTATTGCTTTAGAGAAAGCTTTATTAAGTATTTACTATGGAAGGTATTAATATAATTTTGCAACTGTGATAAATAAAAGTTAAGTAACTATTTTTTTAGTCAAGAGATAAGTAATAAATAATGATATTTTTTAATAGTTTAAGCTCTAAAGTATAAACCATTATATATATATATTACAATATAATCAGAATTAAATGAATAAGATTAGCTCATTAAATTATGTAATGAATTCATACATAAAATGATATATATATATATACATTCATATATTATTTTGAATTTAGCCTAAGCATTATTTAAATAACGCATGTTTGAATAAGTTATTGAATCTTGGGATGAAGTGATTAAAAAAAAAGAAAGATAACAAGAATATTATGTTGAAAAAAGTATTTTAAATAGAACTATTTTTTAGTCAAAGCTGTAAATGAGTAAAATGGATATCCAGAGGCCATTTAAATTTGTAATATTGTAATCAATTTGTAATTAGATAATGAAATAGATATATAAAATTGGAAAAGTATCAAATAATCTAAGTCTAATTAGTGAACTTAGAAAAATAAAGTAATTTTAGAGAAGCTCTAAAGATATCTACGAAGCAATTAGAAAATATACTAAAAACAATTATTTATAAAAATTATAAGGATTCTTAGATTTATTGGTTCTCTTTAAATTATTATTTATGTATATATAATATGATAATTAAAATTATATTAATTATCTCCTTGAATTGATTTTTCTTAAGAGTTTGTTTTATTTTATGACTGTAGATAATAGATAAAACACTGATCATGCCAGCAAAAATTATTAAACTATCAAGATGAATAAAATTTTATGGGAGAATTAGCATTTTTTAATTTCATTATTGACTTATTAAATTTACGCATAGAACATTGAAGTTGTAAACTTACTTTTGAATTTGGAAAGAGGTAATATCTATAGAACCAAAAGTAAATAATGATTCTATTCTAACCTTAACTTTTTTATAACACTAAGGAATTCTTGTAAAATGAGATTGAAATTTTGATGAAGAGAAGTTTAAGAATTTTCATGAATAAAATCTTTTCTGGAATTAGTTTAAAAATATATTTCATTATTAATCATACTTAGTTTTTTGTTCTTAATTTAAAAAATTTATTATAATCTTGAATTTGTTACATTTACCTGTTATTAAGTGAAATAAACAGTCTACTTTTGCTCTTTATTAATTTTATATCCTTCATTATTTGATTTTGAATACATATTTTAGTTGCTTTTTGATCATTCTTTTTAAAAAATTGGATAATTAATATTCTCTGTTTTATAAACATCATATAATGTATTTTTCAATTCCTCTCTGTATCAACAAACTTCATTTAATTACTATTTTATATTATTGTAAGAATAAATTAACTAAATTTCCATTATATCTAAAAAATATAATTTATGGAGCAATCATAAATGATAATTACAGTTGATATTGTTCTTTGAGAATACTAGAAATTTTAATGTTATTGTTTGGAAATCAATAGGAATATTAATCATGTGAATAGAATAAAATAAAATATTCCTAAGGGCTTCCAAAAAGCTATTTTTAATGCATTTTGCAATCATTTATGTATTCTAAATATTAAATAATCGTATTAATTTATGTTTATCATTATAATTATTTAGAATGTAAATTATATTAAAAAAAATCAAAGGATTTAACATTTTTTAGAGTTCATTCTCTTACTATTCCATGCCGTATGTTTTGTTGCCAACTGTAGACTGGTTTATTCTAGTTTTACAGAGGTATAAATATTGAAAGTTAACAGTAGGATATCAAAAGATTCTTGCACAACTTCAACCTCAACGGTTTCACACATGCCAAGCTATGGAAATTGTAAGATAAATCAATTATAGTATATCAAACTAACTGATGATGCTATAAAAGCTTTTAAGTTTAAGTCATTTTGAATGTCTTTTTTATTGAAGCAGAACTATCTTCATCTAAATTTTCAGTTGCATATTATAGTACATCATTTTCGGAAGTAATTTACTCCAGAAAATATGATAGAAGTGATTTAATTCAACATAGTGACGAGATTTATAAAACCACAATAAAAATTTGAATTATTGACAATAGTAAGTATATTTGATATTGAATTTCTTAATTATTATATTGCTGATTTTAACGATGATTATTTTAAGATAAACATTTGTTTAGATCCTCGTTCTAATGATGAGTAAATAGGTATTAGAAATAGGTTAATTTATATCAATACTTGCCATTCTACTTGTTTAACTTGTAATGGTCCTTTAGAAAAAAAAAATTTTATCTGTTATAATAGTTAAAGTATAATAGGGCAGAAAATGCAAATGCATTTCAGATTAATAATTTTCAGAAGCATTTTTAGGTTGTATTTAAGAATGTTTTCGAGATTGCTCAATAGTTAGATATGATAGAATTTTTGTTTAAGAAAACCGAATTAGATTAACCATTACATTATTTAATGATACTATCATTCCATAATTCAATTAATTTAGATATTATCCTTTTAAAAATTGAACATATGTCTTTTATGAATCTTTAAATTTTATTAAGCAATTTTATATTAGCTTTTGTTTAGTACATTATTGCAATTTTTAAATTATATTTTTAATAATACATTTGAATTCTTAAATAGCTTTAATGCTATAACTGGATTATTATTTATCCTGATGGCTACTTTTTTTTTCCCATTACTTTCAATTGCTTCTGCAAAAATAAAAGATTTAAGGAAATGGAATTATTTTAATTATGAATCCAAAACATAATTTTGGTCTGCTTAATGTGGGTCTTTTTAAATTTATAGAATATTGTTGTAAATTGTAATTATAGAGGAATTCATTAACTATCCAGAAGCATAATCAATTTTGCTTTCTATGTTATCATATATGTATTTGATTTACTTGTTAAAGTTCAAACCTTTACAACTTCATTTGAAATTTCTAAATTAATTTGTAGAGGATTCCTAATTATGCTCATAACTGGAACATTTTTATTTATAGTTTTGAGTTTAATTAAGATAATTTTATGATGATTGGGTGGATTCATATTGGTCAGTTTTGTACCATTTTGGCTTCTAATTTATTGATAGATTTATTTGCATAAATTCAAAAATTTACGATA